AATCCAGACATCTGATCAGAGTCACGTCTACAGTAATCCAGACATCTGATCAGAGTCACGTCTACAGTAATCCCCAGACATCTGATCAGTAAACCTACCCATCACAGAAAACTTTTTTTTACCAGGTACACACACACACACACACACACACACACACACACACACACACACACACACACACACACACACACACACACACACACACACACACACACACACACACACACACACACACACACACACACACACACACACAGACATGCACACACACACAATCCAGACAGACAGACATGCACACGTACACACACACACACACACACACACACACACACTAACAAAGATGTATTATATTTAGTTATCTGTTTTGGAAATTGCAAATTAGTTATAAAATCTATATTTTCAGTATAGATGTACTAAACAAATCACTGATTAAACATTCTATGATATTGTATTATGAAATGTATTAAAATAAACAAAAACAGATGTAAATTAGAAAGTTTAATGTTCAGAACATTATGAAAGGCAACTGCTTTATAAGAAAGGTAAATAAAGAATAAAAAGTTAAAAAGTTACATTGAAATTGTGGATCTTTTAACAAGTCACAGAAAATATGATGAAATGTTTAAAAAACGTCTCGGTTACGTATGTAACCCTCGTTCCCTGAGTACAGGGAGTTCCCTGACGAATTGGGATCACGCTAGGGAGCCTAATTACCTCTGATAGAATTAAAAATGAGCCAATAAAAATTGGCATGCAATCTTTGCATTCCGCGAGCCGTCTACAAACGCGGATATAAAAGCGGAAGTAAAACATTGCATAGATGCTTTTCGCTGAGGAGCCGAACAGAGTCCAGCCCTCCGCGAAGGTACAGCAACATGGCGAAGGGACGACACGTCTCCGTTCCCTGTACTCAGGGAACGAGGGTTACATACGTAACCGAGACGTTCCCTTTCGTCCTGGGAACTCCAACGTGTCGTCGGGGAGTTCCCTGACAAATTGGGATCCCTAACAAAACGCCATGGTGCTGGCCCCTTCCAGCGCCCAGCTAAGCTACCCAAAGCAGTTTCACAAATTACAGGAGCTAGCAAGGGAGTCACACTGCTGTTCCGCAAGACCCACACAGTGGATTGGATAACACTGGGAAAGCGTGCCCAACCCGTAAAAAGGGGAAGGGAACGCTGCGGAAGCCAGATGCCTGCGGAAGGCCTGGAATACACATATGTACTAGCCCAGGGGGATAGTGAAACATATGGCAGTCCCTGAGGTAGTCCCCTCCAGCGTACTCAACAGGGACGACAGAACGAGTCTGTCAAGGGGAAGACACGGCTGGACTGCACGTGGCATAATGGGTCACCGAAGAGACCACTGGACATAACACCCAGTCTACACAACAACTCCCTTAGAGGTAGTAGACCTGGCGCCGGCGGTCCGCCACGCCTGGCACCGAAGGGGTGATGAAGGAACTCACGAGGCTAACCAACGTAGGGCGCCAACGGAGCGAAAGACGCACATATCCGGCTGAGGCACGGAGTGGCGTAGCAAGCCGATACAACCTATTCCCTCGCACCACTGGCCGTAGCGAGTACTCGGGAGAAAACAGGTTCCACACGTAGGCTATAGAACCTAGCGAACGTGTTCGGTGTCGCCCAGCCCACAGCTCTACAAATGTCTGTCAGCGAGGCGCCTTGAGCCAACGCCCAGGAGGCGGCAACACCTCTCGTAGAGTGAGCACGCAACCTGGGAGGACAAGGCTCACCCGTAGCTTCATACGCTTGGGTGATAGCATCCACTAACCAGTGAGCTAACCTCTACTTGGAGACGGCCTTCCCCTTCTGCTGGCCTCCGTAACAGACAAAGAGCTGATCTGAGGTCCTGAAGCTTTGCGTTCTGTCAGTGTAAACCCGCAGGGCGCTAGGGCTGTGTCTGCCTCCTCCTGGGGCAGCGCTTGCAGGCTCACTACCTGATCCACGAAGGGAGTGGTAGGAACCTTGGGCACATATCCGAGCCGGGGTCTCAATATCACACGAGAAAGCCCGGCCCGAACTCTAGGCACGATTCGTCGACCGAAAAAGCCTGCAGCTCCCCGACCCTCTTAAAAGAGGCCAATGCCAACAGGAGCGCTGTCTTAATGGACAGGATATTCAGCTCCACTGTCAGCAAAGGCTCAAAGGGAGGACTTTGAAGAGCTCTCAGTACCAGAGCTAGGTCCCAAGAGGGTACAGAGTGCAAAACACGAGGTGGATTTAACCTCCTAGCATCCTTAAGGAATCTGATGATCAGGTCGTGCTTCCCTACGGACTTACCTTCTACTACATCGTGATGTGCGGCTATTGCGGCAACATACACTTTGAGGGTGGAGGGAGACAGCCTTCGCTCCAACCCATCTTGTAGGAAGGAAAGCACGACTCTGATCGGGCAAGTTCGGGGGTGCTCCTGGTGGGAGGAACACCACTCGACGAATAGGTTCCACTTCAACGCATAGCGGTGCCTCGTAGACGGGGCTCTAGCAGAAGTGACAGTGCGGGGTTACTTTGACCCGGAACGTGCCGCTCTGCCACGCCCACCTCGGGACTCGATTGTGAAGCCAGTGCTAGAGCGGTCTCATATGTAACAGGCCGAGCCGCGTTACTGCGGCTGCGGCTGCCATATGCCCCAGGAGCCTCTGAAATTGTTTCAGTGGAACCGCTGTCCTGCCTCGAAAAGACCTGAGGCAGGTGAGCACTGACTGGACGCGCTCCTCCGTGAGACGCGCAGTCTGGGCGACCGAGTCCAACTCCATACTGAGATAAGAGATCCTCTGCACGGGGCAGAGTTTGCTCTTGTCCCAGTTGACCTGAAGCCCCAACCGGCTGAGGTGCCGTAGCACCATGTCCCTGTGATCGCACAACACATCTCGCGAGTGAGCCAGAATGAGCCGGTCGTCGAGATAGTTGAGAAAGCGAACGCGTTGTTCTCTCATGGGAACAATGGCCGCCTCCGCGACTTTCGTGAAGACACGGGGCGACAGGGCCAGCCCGAAGGGTAGGACCTTGTACTGATATGCTCGACCCTCGAAAGCAAACCGTAGAAACCGTAGAAACCGTAGAAACTGTGACGAGGAAGAATCGAGACTTGAAAGTACGGGTCCTTCAGGTCGATCGCTGCAAACCAATCCTGGGGACGGATGCACTCGAAAATGCGCTTCTGCGTGAGCATTTTGAACGGGAGTTTGTGCAGGGCCCGATTCAAAACTCGCAGATCCAGGATTGGCTGTAACCCACCGCCTTTCTTGGGTACAATGAAGTAGGGGCTGTAAAACCCGGACCTCATCTCGGCAGGAGGGACCGGCTCGATCGCGTCCTTCGCCGGCAGGACATCGATCTCTTTCCGCAGGACAGGGGCACCCACTGACCGCACACGGGTGAGGTGGATGCCCCTGGATGCCCCTGAACCTGGGAGGCCGGCGTGCAAACTGAATTGCATAGCCGAACCGAATGGTGCGGATGAGCCATCAGGGCGGACCCGGAAACGCTAGCCAGGCTTCCAGGTACCGACCCAATAAGCCCACCCGAACCACTGGCGTACCCACGGAGGGGCAGCGAGGTGGAAGGCCGGGACCCAGCTCCAGTGGCAATTTAGCCGCTGGAAGCGGGGTCTGGGCGGTCCACCGTGGGGCAGACGGCAGAGAGAGCTCGTAGGCTTTCTGCTGCGGGCTGCCCCGTGGCGAGGGGAGGGGAAGAGACGAGGCACGAGGCCCTGCCTCCTCGTGAACTGGTCTCTGCCCCTCTGGGCCCAGCCGCCGACCGGAGCGACGCAACCGGGGTAGCGTCGCTGCTATCTGCAGACTGGGAAGAGAGGAACGAGAGCGATGCTGCTCGCAGACAGCATCCACCGTCGTTCGGACCCTCTTGGGTGGAGGAGACTGAATGCCCGTTAGTCTCGACCGAGGATGACGTGGAGGAGGAAGAGGAGACTGCTCTTTTTCTTTGGGTACCGCTGACCGGGTGGTCAGCGACGGAACAGAACGAAACAAAATATTCTCCCGCCGGCCCTCCCCCGGGGGAAGGAGGTGCAGGGGCACCCTCCTGAGCAGCTCCGGAATCCTCTACCATGTCGCCCGTCTCAGGAACGCTTTCCTCCCTTCCTTTATGGGAAGGGGCCGGGGGCGTGTGAGTGGGCTGGGCCGCCCTCTTGCGACCAGACTTCCTCACTCCAGGGGTGGTAGGCTGCGCTGCGCTGGAGGAGGAGCTGGCGCTTGAGGGCGACCTCGGCGACGGGAAGCAGCCGGAGCTTGTACAGCCACAGGAGACGGACCCGCAGCAGGCCGCCCCCTATGCAGGACATGCCGCACAGCCTCCGACTGCTTCTGGGCGGTGGAGAACTCCTGGGCCAAGTTTTCCACTGCGTCGCCGAAGAGGCCACCCTGGGATACGGGGAAGTTGAGAAGTTTGTTCTTCTCCGCTTCCCTCAGATCTGCCAGGGTCAGCCACAGGTGGCGCTCCTGGACCACCAAAGTGGACATCGCCCGACCCAGCGAAGGTGCGGCAACTTTCGTCGCCCGTAGGCCGAAGTCCGTCGCCGCACGCAGCTCCTGCAGCAAAGCTGGGTTCGGGACCACCCGCCTGCAAGTCACGGAGTGCTCCAGCCTGATGGACTTGGAGCAACGCCATGGCATGCAGGGCGGAAGAGGCGTCTCCACACGCCATGTAGGCATTCCCGGTCAGACCAGGGGAAAACCCACAGGCGCGGGAGGGGAGTAAAGGGGCACCCCGCCAGGAGGAAGCGGTCCTCGGACACAGCTGCATCGCGATAGACCGCTCCACTGGGGGGATTCCCTCGTACCCGTGCGCCGCTCCGCTGTCCAGAGTGGTAAGAAAGGAGGAGCGAGGTTGTCTCCGCCTGTACGCCAGAGGCGCCGACCAAGACTTCCTCAACTCTTCATGCACTTCCGGGAAGAAAGGGACCGGAGCGGGTCGTGTGGCAACAGCACGGCCCGCTCCAAGACACCAATCATCCAACCGCTAACGCTCGGGACCCGCCGGAGGGTTCCATGCGAGCCCGACATTCGCGGCCGCCCGTTCGAGCATAGCGGCCATTTCCGGATCTGGCTCAGCCTGAACCACCACACCCGAAGGGGGCAGTCCCGCCGAGTCATCACCAGAAGATGACCGCTCTTCCTCCGATGCCGCAATCGACATCTAATCCACAGGTGGCGCCCCGAAGGAGACAACCGGAACCGCCCGACGGGGCTCCGGGCGTTCCACCGGAAGCGCCGATGGCAGCGTGCAACTAGAGGTGTGAGGCGCCCGACAGGATCTTTCACCTGTCGCGTTTCTCACAGTAATCCTCATTCGCTCACCAACAGGAATCACCGAAGTAGCCGTCCGCTGAACTGAACCAGCAGACGAACTAGACCGGAGATTCTCTGAAGGGACTCCCCTGTGTTTCAGGGATCTCAGTCTCGAACGTAGCATCGCTACGTAGTCATATTCCCGCAATGAGAACATGACTCGTCCACCAACGCTGCCTCAACGTGCGCTAAGCCCAGACACGTGATGCAGTGTTTGTGGCCATCAGTCTGAGGGAGAAGTCGACCGCATCCAGAAACGCACGAGTGTGACGACATCCTGAAAAGGACGTGAACACACCGTGGAGCTCTTTTAGAAGGAAAAAAAATAAAATAAAAAATGAATAAGAAGAAGCACTCTGAAGCGTCGAAGCACCGAGGGATCAGCGCGGCAGACACTTCCGGGTGAAACTGCAAGCCCTCGTGCTGCACTCAGTGGCGTTGATCACACAAGCGCCGTCACACCAGCAGCCATCAGAAGTCTTCTTCCACTAGCTCGTTTCTCTTCCAAAGGTAAGGAACAGCAGCACCAAGACACTACTGAGAGGCTCCGAAGAAAAAAGCGTCTGTGCAATGTTTTACTTCCGCTTTTATATCCGCGTTTGTAGGCATCTCACGGAATGCAAAGATTGGATGCCAATTTTTATTGGCTCGTTTTTAATTCTATCAGAGGTAATTAGGCTCCCTAGTGTGATCCCAATTCGTCAGGGAACTCCTCCACGACATGTTGGAGTTCCCAGGACGAAAGGGAACAGTACATTTATGATAATCTGTTGTGCGATTAGTACTAAAAAGTTTTATTATGTGAAAACCAATAAAATAAAATAAAAACAATTTAAAAATGTAAATATAATAAACCATCTGGCTGTACATTATCCTTTAGATAACAATGAATACAGCAATGTAAAGATGACAGAGATATAATAAATGTAAAATAATGGTCAGCAAATGTAAAAATAAATTATGAATAAATGATTAATGAATTATAAAGATGTAAAAGACAAATACAACGTGAGTGATGCTAGCAAGAGACAGAATGTATTGCTTGCTAGGAGAGAAGCGTCATTACATTGCACGTCTTCTCCTTCGCAGTCACACACACTTGCTTGAATGGTGCTTTCCTGATCAAATCCACCCTGATCAATAACTTTCAGGACAACATTGTAGTCACCCTGCTCCAATGCAGTCTTTGGTGTCAGAAAGACACCCGTTGCTAAAATGGGCACATTATAATAGTTAGACATGTATAGCAAGACAGCAAGATATTTTAATGTGTAACGTATGAAAGAATGATTCATTTCTCTTTAAAACATTAGTAATTGCTCACATGTGCCATTCATCGAGGTGGACCAATTTTTACTGGTTTCTCCGTGGGTCTCAACTCTAAAAGGACCAGCGAAAGGAGGTCCATCTTTGTCCGATATAGAGAGAAGCACTGGGGCTGAACCACGATTGCACATTCGTATATTCCTTTCATTGATGACAGGAGCGTTGTCATTTACATCCTCCAATTCAATAACCAGGGTTCCTGTGCCAGTTGCTGGAGCGTCACCTGCACACAAGCACAGACATCAGAAAAAGGCCAGCAAGAATTATCCTCTTAAAAAGAAACACAAATTACCATCATTATCCAACGCCAAAATGATAGCTCTGTATTTGCCATCTTTGACTGAGGGAGATTCTCTATCCATGAGGCTCTTGACTTTAATAACTCCAGTGTCTGGAGCAACACTCAGCCAGCCGGCAGGATCACTGCCAATCTTATACCTGGAAGGAACCAAACAGGTTAAAACTAGAAATGTTCAGCAAGAACAACTTAAATCTGGCCTGGAAGTTTAAAAACATTTGAAGTTCAAAGGATATACAGGCATGCTATGATTTGAATTTTGTGAATGAAGAATTGACATTGCAGGGATATAAGCCTTAATAGGTAGACTGTTGCTAAGGTGGTTCTCAGTGGTTACTAGTGCTAGTGAGGCTGTTTTAAAAAAAAAAATCATTAATCATCAAGTCTATCAATGGAAGACTATGTGATTTTTTATTGTTCTACAAGATCTGAATCTCTAGAGAAATCAGTCAGAATTTTCAAATGGAATATTTGGGGGTTAAATAACAATATTATTATAACAATAAATTGGGGGTTTGATTGAGAGGGGAAAATGAATTGCAACATTTCTTACGTTATCTTCTGTGCTTTTGCAGTGTCTGGATCAATGGCTTTATAAGTAACCAATTCACTATCAACTTTTACATCTTCAGGTTTGAAGATAACCTTCTCCTTTGGATTAAACTCCGGAGGCTCATTCACATCTTCTACATTCACCGTGACTGTGGCAGTGGAAGTGGCCAAAGAACCGACAAATGGATCATCGTTCTCAACAATCACAGACAGAATGAATTGCTTGTTCTTCTCAAAGTCCAGGGGCTGAATGGAAAAAAAAGTGTCTTTTACTAAAGGAACATGATCACAACTAATTGCCTGTGGAAACACATGAGCAACACACAGTACCTTTACAGTGGTGATGATGCCCTCTAGCTGGCTGGGTCCAGTACTGACACTGAAAAACCCACTCTTGTCACCGTCAATGATCTTATATTTGGTTGACCAGGCAGGAGATCCCTCTTCATCTCCATCAGTAACTGTAAGTCTGGCCACTTCAGCTCCTACTTTATTCTCTGGGACAGATACAGTGTGCTAAAACAAAGAGATGAATGGTGTAAATAAGTATTAATAAAGTTAAAATGCTTATAACAGCCTGAATGTATTAATATACATTACCGTGGTTTGCACAAACTGAGGTGCGTTATCATTGCTGTCAGTCACAGTAATAACAGCTGTGCCGGTGGATCCATAACCTCTTCCTTCCAGGTCAGTTGCCGTAATTAACACAGTATATCTGGACCATTTCTGAAAGAGAAGATGTTTTCAGGTGAGAGTTTGTTTACATGAAATCATTCTTCGCCACTGCGAGATCCATTCATCATTTCTCACCTCTCTGTCCAAGCCTAAAGCATTCACACGAATTCCTCCGGTAACAGGGTTGATTATAAACAGGTTTGGTTTTGGCAATTCTGGATCTTGCTTGACGATTGCGTAACTGACAACACCATTGTAAGTGTCTGGATCATCTGCATCAGTGGCTGTGACTGTCATAAACTCATGACCTTCAGTGAGAGAAGAATAAAGACTGATTCGGTGGTAAAACTGAAGAGGCATTTGAAAAATATAAAACTGCTAAAAACCATTTCATTGAGAAACGGCATCATACACCTACCTATAACAGAAGCTTCAGCAACATTTCCATTTAATGGATTTTGTGTAAAAACAGGCTTATTATCATTTTGGTCCTGCACATTTACAATCATTTCCATTGGAGTTTCCTTGATATCCGCACCAACTGCAACAGCATAAGCAATAAGCTAAAGACGAGAAGAAATATGGGCATGTTAAGAGACAAATATCTGAGGTTGTTTGAAAACACAAATAAATTAGATTTGTATTTTTATTCCATGTCTTTTATCTTTGACACGTATATTTGCAAGTGTAGTTATGACTTAATTTTTAGTTAAAATAAAAATTACAAGTATAAGTATGATAAGTAAATTGTGTGTCAAGCTATTTCACAGGGCCTTTTATCGGATTCTTTATACTTTTATTTTAGCTTTCAAAGTATTAAGTACGAGCAGACAATCCAATGCTGAAATGCACTAAAAATCATCTTACTCTGTATGAAGCTTTTATTTCTCTGTCGAGTGGGCGAGTCACAAACAGATTCCCTGTTAATCTTTCTATAGTAAAAGTCCCCTTAGGATCCAGATCCGCTCCTTCACCTGTGATCCTGTATTGCATCTGAGCTTCCTTAGAATAGTCCGACTTTATCTAAATACAGAAATCAATAAGAGAACAAAGTCAATAACAGACAAACCTCTCTCGATCATCTAATTTTGAACTTTCCCTTCATGACTTTCTCTCACCTGGTGCATTTTCTCTGGGAAAGGACCTCTGCTATTCTCAGCTATATTAAATGGAGGAATAACCCAACCTCTCTTTGCTTCTCTCTTTGCTCTCTTTAAATCCATTGTAGACATTGGAAGTGTTAGAACCAGATCATCAGAGGGAGATTCAATGTTAGTAAAAGACACTAAGCAACTATTTTTTTATTGACAATTAAACACAGCACACAAACCATCAAATATTTAGATAATTGTATCTTTAGAATCAGAATGAAGCTTATTGCCAAGTATGCTTACAACACAAGGAGTTTGTCTTCATGACAGAAGCTTTCAGTGCACAGACAGAAAGACAGCGACAAGACACAGATAATAAAAATAAAATAAGTGAATAAAAATAATATATATGAAAATCAGTGTGTCGCGTAAACACGTTAGGCATTCGATTAACTTCAAAATCCTTAACACTTTAAAATAATTTAATGCAATTAACGAGAGAAAAAAAAGACAAAAGTATGTGAAGCTGTGTCATTAAAGTCATTTTCGTCACACAGTTAGATCACACTGCGCATCTATGAGTATCTGTAACCCTGGTTGGAGGAAATTTCTATTCTAACTCTTTATCCCGATTCTGCATCTCTGTTTGCAATCAGATCATTTTAAGCTGTTAAACTCTGTGAAAGTCTTCAGTGGTCCAGTAATCAAATTCATTCAAACATTCAGTCCAAAACAGCGCTAATGTAAAGAAGGCCAGGCTGATTACACCAGAGATACCAGAGACTCACATTGCGTTTTTAGTGTATCGTGTCATTTAACTTATTTTAAGTCGATGTACCATCACAAGGGTCTTGGAAATATATTATGAAGGTTGAAAAACTACATAGTGTTACTTTAAAGGCACAATATGTAAGAATTTTGTAATAAAATATCCAAAAAATCACTTGCACAGTGTGATATATTTCCTGCAGTTGTGTACTTACAATATCCCAAAAGTCTCCAAAGATTTTTTATTTCAGAGAAATTCACATTTTAAATAAGTGGCCGTCCAGGAAAAAAATGTCGCCTGTCAATGACGCAATATCCGCGCTATCCTCGGTTTCCGTTCATACTGCCATAGCCATGACGTAACCATGGCGACAGACGTGGACAACTGCGCAGTGCGTAACGTTTAGCGGCACCAGAGCCCGTCATTCTCTGGCGGCACGCAGTTCTTGTTTCGTTCAAACATAGACCATCCATGGCAAGCAGACTTTGGGACAAACAAGGAAACTAAAATGAGGATCAATATCAGCGTGGCGTTTTTGAGATGTCGAGAGCTCCACGTCCGCGACTAACTTGGACTCGACAGAGCTTCACGAGTCACGACTTGACAGCTTTACTAGACAGGTGAGCAAATGTACATAAAACAAATCAATGTTTTATAACGTTAGCTCAACATGATGAAATGTTAGAATATGGTCAGTATGTTATTCTAATGTTGATCTAGCTTACTGCTAGTTTCGTATAGCAAACGAACTAACACGTAGTTTAACATTATAACTTTCAACACACATTTAAATGCCGTTTAGTGTGATAGTGTGACGTTAGACCAAGTGAAGTAGCGCTGCGTTACCTCACACGTTTAATTCGTCTAATAAACTGACCTGTGTGAGTAATCCAGCACTCGCGGGTAGTTCGGTAGAATTAAATATCCTTATTCCTTTATATCCGCGGGACTCGCGTGTGATATCTGTCTCTTTAGCAATCGCGACCTGCTTCATACCACTGTAATGTTAAAAAAACATGAATGTTTGCACTCATCCATAAACATTATTAGATCCATCAGCTTGACAGCAAGTCCCATCATTCAGCTCATCACTGCGTCATCGACCGACGCCTTTGTTATTGTTGGAAACTGCGCCCTCTTGTGGCGAAGAATTCTTACATATTGTGCCCTTAATGTTTTGTGTGTAAATAAAATTGAAATTATGTGAGACCCAATTTCCACTGTAATGTAAAAACAACATAAAGACAGTATATTTTTAATAATTCTTTTTAACAGCATCTTTTTATGAATGAAGGCCAGTATCACTGATATTATTATAGCTACTGATGTCTTGATGAAAAGTATTTTCCCCCCCAAATTTGAAACATTTATTAGGCTTCAAAAATATAACAACTTTTAATTTAAGTGAACTTTAAACAATCCTCACATAAACCCATAATAAATGTCATATTTACCGGTGCGCTTCCTGTCTAACAGGTACGAAATATACAGAAATTGAATAAGGTTATCAAATAGTCTGCACTGCATAAATTATAAATTATATATAGATTAATCCTTATTAAAGCTACAAACGTTCTTTAGACAAGATCAGTGAGTAATTTGCTCTATTCCCCTTTGTTCTTTGGTCAACTTTACTGACAGAGAGAATTGGCTGCTGTCCCTTTAAGATCTGTCGCTGATGACAGGATCTTTCGCATTTAATTTTCTCATTTACTCTTGACGTTCATTTAAGATTTTATTTTACTTATTTATGACTGTTTTTGTGAGGATACAATTGACAAAACGGACATTTTGGCATAAATGTGTGTGTTATTATTCAAGCGTGAAAGAGAACTGGATTCTGGCGCGCTGTCTGTGAATGTTCTGAAGCACACGCACACGACGCACAGACAGCGCGCCAGAATCCAGTTCTCTTTCACGCTTGAATAAGCGCGATACCTGTTTATTAGAACTTTCAGTGAGCTATGAGTTTAGAGTGTGGACTATGGTGTGTGGACGCGACGTACGTGGACGCGGACGCGCGCATCGGCACAGACTATCTCCTGCTCCTCCGTGGCGATGACGGCGTGCGGTTAAAAAAATCATAACAAACGAACTTGAAAGTGGGGGGGACACAAACGGGATTTTGAAAAGTGGGGGGGACATGTCCCCCCTGTCCCCATAGGAAATTACGCCCGTGCAGTGACATAAAGAAATGGTGGAATCCGACTTGTCCCGTAGATGGTCTGCTTGCACGCATTAACCTTTAACCTTTGCACCAGCAGATCCATTTCCTCGCTAGAGAAGCGTTCAGTATTTCAGCTTGCAAATTCCTCCATGCTGGCTTTTAAAGATAATGGAAGATGACACTCTGATTGGTTTATTGCATGTCATGCCCAAAACATTACTCAGTAAGAGAATAGAGACAACCCTTTTAGACCATGCACCGGGAGTGTCGATCATTTTTCCTGTCGTTTAACTAGCAAAAGTGGATTCGGACTTCCGCCGTGCGCTTTGGACCATGCGCTTAGATCGTTAAAAATAGCGCCCAACGACTGCAGAGTAGAACTGCAGAATCAGGTCGAACGTCCTCAGGTCATCTGAAACCTTCAGGAGCTTGACTGAGGGGTATTTGGTCCTGCAGTCGTTGTTGTACAGGGAGACGAGCAGTGGGGACACATCCCTGGGGGTGCCAGTACTGATTGTACAGCTGAAGTCCACAAATAGGATCCTCACATAAGTTCCCGGTCTGTCAAGATGTTGCCGGATGTAGTGCAGTCCCATGTTGACTGCATCATCCACAAGGGTTCTGTGAGGTCCTCAGGTAGGCCAACACCAGTCTTTAAAATTAATTCATGACCGTTGTCAGATGTTAAAACAACTGGTCTGTAGTCATTCAGTCATGTGATTTTGGAATTTATTTTGGATGGGGATGATGGTGGGACATTTGAAGCATGAAGGGACCTTTGCACAGCTCCAGTGATCTGGTAAAGATCTTTTTGAAGTAACATCGTGGTAGTTGCATGTACTGTCAATGGAGGGACAGAGAGCTCTCGGATTTCATCTAAGATATCTTCTCTTGTGTTTCGATTATGAACAAAAGTCTTACAGGTTTGGAACGACATGAGGGTGAGTGGGTGAACTAACCATTTACTAGTTGTCATTGTTTATCAAGCACATTTTCTATCCAATTCCTATAGCCGGAAAGAAGACAAGGAGTGTAATGGTGAATGGTGGTGGACGGGTAGGGATGCAAAACAGAGGAAGAGATAGAAGAGGCCAATAACATAGGCACATTTCCGATGAAATAAAGGCCACTATTGTGGGTTAGGGTTAGGGTTAATCCCTTACGGTAACGCTGGGTAAACACAGAAATGAGGGAGACCTGGATCCAAAGTCAGAGTAAGATTTAATGAAAATAAGAGTCAAAATAATAATAAAAACACCAGGGAACACGAGGCGCAGAACTGAGAACACCAAACAAACAGCCATACAAGGACAAGACCTGACAATCAACACAGGAAACACTGAGGTTTATATACACAAGATAACAAGAAGCTAATGAGGAACAGGTGTTAGTAATACTAATGAATCACTATGGCAACAAACAAGACAGCAATGGAAACAATAGCAAACAGGTCAGGCTTGTACTGTACTGACAGCAGTTTTTTCAAGGAACTTGTTTGTACCTGTGGAGAGGAGATGTTCATGACCGTGTCCATGTGATGGTCCTCATGATGATGATGGACACGCTCAACTCTGACAGACACCGTGTGCTTCTTTCCACTGGATTCCCAAGCGTCCACAGAAAACACCTTGTGGCCTTCATGAAGAGTCACTTGTCTCTTCAGGGTTACGGTCCCATCCATGTCCACATCAAAACACCTGTCAGCGGACTGGAAGAGCGTTCTTGTTCTTCCATCGCATGCATTAAAAATCACTGTCAGAAAAAGAGATTCAATTGGCACATATGTAAACCTGGTTCCCAGAGTTGGGAAGTTACAATATTTATTGCTATGGTTTCAAAACTGGTCCAGAGAACCGTAACATTTTACGGTTATTAGTACTGATTACAGAAATATTGGAATCGTGACACTAGTCTGCAACATATAAAATCACACCAATTCATTGACTGTGTTAGCGCCACCTTCTGAGATGTCACATCACTGTTGCCTCAAAAAGATGCATCTGTGCCATCAGATTTCTATGAAGGAAGTCATAGCAGTCAGGGAAGGATATGCATTGATCTAGAAGACCCAATCAGGGAGCGAATGTGGGCAGCCACCCCTTCATTTTCAAAAGTCTCCATTTTTGTCCATCTACTGAAACGCAACCCCAGAGTTTTCAAATTAAAACGGTGTCTGCAGCGTTTCCATTTCCAAGGGTCAAAAACTCTGGAGTAGTGTTGACCCAGGCGTAACCGCAGCAAAAGTTATACGTTTTAAAACAAAAATACACTTGTGTTAGCCTAAGGCTACATAAACAATAACATGGAGACAGACCTGCAAGTTTTGCTTTTTAGCAGCCATTGTGCAGTTAAACTCTGCATTTTATAATACTGCCGCTGCCTACATGTGTTACAGGTCTGCCAGGTTCCTGCACTTACTAATCACGCCGCACTGCCTATCACACGCACTCCCTCTCCCTCTCCTGATCACACACACACACACACACACACACACACACACACACACACACACACACACCTGTACCTCATCATCACCTCCACTATATAAGCACACACTTCACCCCAGTTCATTGTCTGATCTCGTTTCCTTATGAAGTGGACACCTCTCCAGTGACTTCAGGAGGCGATGGAGGGGGCAGAGTGAACCAAATGGGGGACTGGGCTGTCTGGCTCAAAGTGGAGATTATGCCAAATGCCTCAGCCCATACCTTGAGAGAAGATTTGCTCTCAGATTTAACTGACATTTGATATGCCCTTCCCTCAGCGAGAGTAGCTTGCTCTGTGACCAAAGAATAATGCCCTGTGCTGATACCACATCGGGTGCGAACGTATCCCCCACTGGACTTTCTTCATAAACTGTGCCCCAACCTACTGACAAGGCGTCTGTCATAGGCACTTTTATGGGATTGCGTTCTCACGCAAATTTACCTTGTTTAGTAAATCTGGCCCCTAGAGTAAAAAATTGGGGATGTTTCTGTGGTAAAACCGAAGCCTCCTGAATGCTGACCATCGTTTAATGGATAGCACACCCATTTTATCAGGATCAGGAACAACTCATCTGCAATGCAGGTCAGGAAACCTTAGCTACCATCCTCAGGTACAGGCGCTTAAGAGGGTGTGAATGCTCAATCTAGCGAGGCCGGTGACCCCAGTTCTTCTTGGGGGAGTCTGGACAACCCGTTAGGGATTCTGCTAAGAGCTGAAGGGGGATCGAGTCACAGTCAGAACAAACTCTTGACCCCGCCGGGGAAACTTATCGATGACAGCATTCACTGAGTCGCTGAAAAACCCCAACTGAGCAACAGGAGAATCCAGCAGAAAGGACTTCTTTCTCAGGTATCTGTGAGGTTGAACCACAAATGTCTCTCAATCACCACCAACTCTACCATAGAATGGCCAGTGGCATTAGACATATGCTTAGTTAATCAGAGAAGCAAGTCATTTGCTCATTTGAGCTCCTTGACTGCCTCAGGAGTTAAGCAAGCCCCATTCATCCTTATCCTCCATGACATCAGCTTGGTACATCTGCAATAATGCTATAGTATGCAGCGTCACATACATACGCCTGATTATCAGCCATAAAGGACTTACCAATCAGTAGAAAGAACATAATTTCCAACCAAAAGACAAGAAAGCTTCCAGTCTTTGGCATAGTTCCTCGTGTAAACTCCACAGAGAAATACACTTCAAACAGTCCGGCGAGAACAAGAAAGAAATGGAGAAATCCATCTTCTCATTCTCTTTAGCCTCAAGCTCATCATCAGATCCCCAGGATCCTGGGTCATGTCACGCCTCAGAGCCTCAGAACTAGTGTGACAAAAGATGGCTGATTTTCCACTTTTTTCTCATTTACATTGATTATTTAGCCTAATACTGAAAATATTAAAACAAAAACTGTTCAGTTGCTTCAGTGTTTTATTTAAAGAGATTTGTAAACACAGCTTACCTCTTCCTAGTTTTTGTCCTTGGTGAAGTTCATCTCTGTGCACTTTAAAAACCAGCAACTCTGACTGAAAGCCTGGAGTGCATGAAGACTCCTCCGCAGATTCACACAAAAGGACCTAATTTGAAACATATACAATTTTGTAACATTAACCAATTTAGAAATTTATATGTTGATTATTTAATCACTTCCAGCACAACAGCAGCGTATGTGAGCTAAACTGTGGATCATTTTCCATTGTTTTGCCACAAGATGTATTAAATGACTACATCATTCAAATTACATTAATTCTTTTCTCAGTCAGACACAACCCGGATTGTGTTGGAGGGTTATATGTTTGCTCGGAGCATTTTGTTTTGTAAACAAAAACTTTTTTTTGACAGATGAAGCATCATGTCTAGGAAAACTTTCCAATAAAATTTCAATTAATTAGATGCTTCATATGTAAAATGTAAAGTTGCGCATTGCTGGTGCAGAAACTGAAGATATTTTTATGTATTTGTAAATAAAGCGTCACAATCACACACTGGTTACGTGTCCTATTGACTTAACAAAAGTCTTAAAAACACTTGAATCCATATAACGAAAGGAAAAGGCAGAAGCCTGTTAGTTTTGATAAAATCAACCCCTGCAAAATAGAAGCGACTTATAATGTAAAAATAACAGTGTCGGCACCAACAATGCAGACGACATTTTATTTTTCTCTCTTAAACCTTTGGTATTGATTTTTGGTGGATTTTAAGAAGTTCAGCTTTTTAACACTAGCTCTAAACTTCATTAAACATATTAAAGAAAGTGCATTATAATGTCAAATAAAATCAGCTTCTCAAGAAATTAATATATATATATATTCTCTGAACATGATGAGCACTATCAGACACTAATAAAAATAACCAAAGGTTTTGGAACGTGTCCTGGATAAAATCCTACCTTACAGAGGAAAATAATAACTCCCAATCTCCCAATCTTCATTGTCTTGGAAACAAAAGGTCTTGAAATGTCCTTCAGGTACTAATTCCTAGTTGGCTTGTAAGATCTCAATGCTATATAGTTGCTTGAGTTGCGGGGGTTGGGGGGGGGGGGTCTATTCCGTTTGCTGGTCGTTGGGTATAGTTCCTGTTTTGGGTGTGAATGGTGTCAGGTTAAAATGCTCAAAATGTAAAAACTGCTCAAAAAAGTGAGTTGTTGAAAAACAAAAAAGTTTAAACTCAAAACTTAAACTACCTGCATTTGTTAGTGTATGTAAGGTCCAGTATATCAGTTTTTCACAATTTAGAGCAGTATTTTAATAACTTGACTGGAGCCAAAGAGTTCTGTACTCTCTAAAGAAAGCTGTATGTGTTAACATTATAACATCGAGGTCAGTTTCTAGGCTAACATATGTTCAGCTAGAAACCACTAATGGTGACAAAGCAGAAAAAAGAAGAATATTTGCAGGAGTAAAACCTTTACATTATTATACACAATTTAACGTTACAAGCCTATATGCAAAAGATTCTGGTCAAAATAGCAGTTTATTATCTTTTTTTTATTTTCCTGTCAAAGCTGTTTTGAAACAGTCTGTATTAAAGTGCTATACAAATAAAGGTGACTTGACTTTTTTTTTTAAATTGCTAGCAAGACTCATTCAGTACGTAAGTAATCTTTTCAAAAATCTTTAACAGTCTGCATTACCACCCTGATATGATCTTAGCCCAAACTGTTATTCTCATCTTTTTTTTCAACTGCTAACACGCATCAGTCAAAGTTGAAGCCACTGTCAAAACTCAGTGAAACAGAAGTCTGTGAGGACTAAACAGTGAATAATTTTTAATTTCATTTAATGATGTTATCTTCTAAAATCCATAAACCTAGAAATTCCTATACTGTATGTGCAGCACATTTGTCAAACGTTAACACACTACTTTCCAAACTGATAAAACACATGTGAAATAGAATGATAGAACATTTTGTGCATTTCTGCAGTATCTTGAAATATATAGAAAACCGTAGCAGTGAAATATTTACAATAAAATGAACAATCATTCCAAACACTGCAATTTCAGCTGAAAGCCTACTCAAACTGTCATGTTTTAGTCTTGTCTTCTTCTACTACCACTTTTTTCGAAGTACCATTTTCTCTTAGTACAAACTGATCACACTAGTCACTCTTTTAAAACCTCATGCTTATCTCTTGCACTCGATCCGGCTCTGTGTTCACAAATTGCAAACGCTGTCTCACGCACACAAGAGGTGTCAGTGAGGTCAGCAGAGTGTGTTTACCCTGTGGTCTGTCTGGGTCCTAATGCCCCAGTATAGCGATGGGAACACTATGCTGTAAAAAGCATCCTTTGGATGAGACATCAAACCGAGGCCCTTATTATCCACATTAGGGGCTTTTGCACCAGGTTATAGTTCCCGAGAACTAAATTCCCCCTATAGTGCCATTTTCCTGGTGGCATTCACACCGCCAGTAGGAACTGAAGTGACATGAGCCGGCAGAAAGCAACAGCGCAGGATTCAACGATGTCAACAACTGGAGGATGGAGGACACTATGATTAGAGCTGTGCTTTTGTTGTCTGTTGTGGGTTTTGTGATAACAGAGATGGAATGTAGACTTATAAGTTATGCAATTGAAAGAGCAAAAGGAGGGCCATAAGACGAAATCTCCAGCAATCTTGTATTGACATTATTACTGTTATTATTATTATTAGTAGTATGGTTGTTTGTATTTTTCATTAAAGGGGTGGTTGATCATGATATCATTTTTCTAACTGTAATGTTGCTGTTTGAGCATAAACAACATCTGCAAAGTTACGACACTCAAAGATCAAAGCAAAGGGAGAGATTTGCTTTGAAAGAACTCATTTTTTAAGGACTACAACAAACGGCTGGTGGAACTACAGTAGGCTATGTAACACAAATTTAATAGCATGTCACTCTGTAGGCATCTTACACCAGTTCCCACACAAGCGATTTGATAGATTATCATGACAGAATATGCTAATTGAAGACACTCAGGGGACAACAGAGACTAGTTTTACATATTGTAAAAAGGGGTATTATACCACCCCTTTAATATTATGTAAACAGGATGGAATGAGAGGCATGTAGCCAATGACAAAAAGAAAAAAAACTTTCATTTTCATTCAGCACTTTGTGCTTGAACCCCTAAATAGTGCTGTCTATTGCACATGTTTATTGCCCAGTGGGGGCATTTACTATTCATGAACTGATCACTGCCTGAGGAAACAACTCTTCTTGATTCTGGCTGTTCTGGTGCTGTTTGGTCTGTAGCGCCGGCCAAACGGAAACAGTTCAAAGAGGAAGTGGGGTGGATATGAGGGATTATTATGGATATGGGGTGGATATGAGGTCTGTTATTCGCATATCTCGCAAACCGTTAGTCCAATGGATTTCAAACTTGACAGGTGTCTTGCTACGGGCACGAGTAAGTGCAGTGCCGAGTTTGACATTGTTTGGATTAGAAATGCAAAAAATCTAATTGTCACACAGTTATGCAATTTACAGTATCTCTAGCAGGAGGTGGCTGCTGGAAATGGTCAGGGCAAGGATGTCAGGTTTTGGTGAAGGGATGAGGCGAGGACTCAAACACAGAGGTCAATAGGCTTTTAGTAATTAAATAATAGCTTCCTCATAGTGTAAAACAGACTGGAAAAGCACTAGGCAGGACAGAAACAGCAGGACATGAGGGATTCGCTCGATAAGGAACTGGCACAGGACTGAGAAGTAGCAGCAATGACAGCAGCCGCAGCAATAACAGCAGCAATAACCACAGCAGCAGCAGCAATAACTACAGCCGCAGCAATAACAGCAGCCGCAGCAGCAATAATAGCAGCAACAATAGCAGCAGTCGCAACAGAGCAGCCACAGCAATAGCAGCAGCCGCATCAATAGCAGCAAAAACAGCAGCAGCAATAACAGGAACCACAGCAATAGCAGCAATAGCAGTAATAACAGCAGCAGCAGCAGCCACACACTATTAACAGCAGCAGCAATAGCAGCAATATCAGTAATAACAGCAGCCGCAGCAATAACAGCAGCCGCAGCAGTAGCAACAGCAGCAATGACAGCAGCCGCAATGACAGCAGCCGCAGCAGCAATAACAGCAGCAGCAATAACAGCAGCAGCAGGAGTAGCAACAGCAGCAATGACAGCAGCCGCAATGACAGCAGCCGCAGCAGCAATAACAGCAGCAGCAGCAATAACAGCAACCGCAGCAATAACAGCAGCAGCACCAATAACAGCAGCAGCAATAACAGCAGCAGCAGGAGTAGCAACAGCAGCAATGACAGCAGCCGCAATAACAGCAGCAGCAATGACAGAAGCCGCAGCAATAACAGCAGCAATAACCGCAGAAGCAGCAGCAATTACTACAGCCGCAACAATAACAGTAGCCGCAGCAATAACAGCAGCAGCCACAGCAATAACAGCAGCAGCACCAATAACAGCAGCCGCAGCAATAACAGCAGCAGCACCAATAACAGCAGCAGCACCAATAACAGCAGCAGCACCAATAACAGCAGCAGCACCAATAACAGCAGCCGCAGCAATAATAGCAGCTGCAGTAATAACAGCAGAATATATTTGTAGCGACACCGACGGGTATCCGGCCAAAGGTTCGGAATTAGCAAATCCTGGTCAGTGGATTTAAAATTACTGGAAGCTAATTTAATCAACCACAGCTCTATCCTTCTTTTTGGCTGTGACACAAAGAAGTTTTGTTCGGACTTGATTGAGTCACTGACTACAATTCGCACACACGGCAGTTCTCTCTAATGATTAAGTCAAAGAAGACTTTGTTTACCACCAAAAGACATTTGACCAAGAGCCCCGCTTTGACAAGATCACGCGGAGAGCGCCCCGAGGGTTTCCTACGAAGATGCCAAGAAGAGCATTGTCAATTTAAATCCGCACACACAGGATTCCCCGGAGAAAACGCTGACTGAACAATCACATCCACACATACCCGCACACATCCGACCTTCCTGTATGCATGCATATCTAATTAGTTTTGTCTTATTCTATAGATGTAATTTTAACTGTTCTGTAACTTCGAACCTTAAGTTTATTTCTAAAGAAAGATTCTATAACTCTTCCTCTTGCTAGGTCATAAAACTTTATGACTCCCAAAAGGAATTCCAAGGGAAATCACAGCTCCCACTTGAATTCTGATGAAGAAAGAGGAATAGACTCTGCAATCTTATATTGTCTATAAGTATAACCCCTTAAGAAATGCATAAACATGAATTTGATTTTCCTAGGTCATGGTAGCCGGTATTATGGCTTTATAGTCGTGTGAAGGAACATTAAATGCTTATAAAATGCATATCTTATGTAACTCTATATTCCGATAATCTTCATGTGACGTGTCTGATATGTCTGTAATTCGCTCAATCTAACGGAGCCGAATTCCGATAGCATAATGAAGTAAGGTGCATTATTTTACACATTTCATATTTCAGGAGCCGAACGGCTCAAATACAATCTCCTCATGAGTCAGTCAAGTGGGAATCCCCCACAGGACAAAGAGAACTGTGTCCGCTCCAGATCCGCGGACGGTCATGTGTGGTTCGCGCAAACAGAGGCGTGAACCCTCCTCTCCATAAGAGACACAGAAGTTTCTTTGGAACACGAGAGCTTTTTCCTGTGAGAGGTTTCTGGATCCATGGCTCCTTAGGGAGCTTTCTCCGTTTTCTTTAATCTTTCTTTATTTTCGTCTTCAGACTTTCTTACGTTTAGTTTCAGTGAAATGAACGTAATCGGCAACTTCAACCTGAAGGAGACTCTTTGAATCTGCAGCGACCACGCTCGCCCGGAAGAGCTGAGAAAGCACGCACCCGCTCTTAAGGACACACACGCAAGACGCGGTTTCCCTCAGCAACACCAGGAGAACCAAAGACCTTTAAGCCTTCATTCAAACTAACGCGCTTTGCCCGCTCTGAAAGACCACGTGAACGCATGACGCGAG